AGCTTGTAAGGAAAGGGGCCGTTTGCCGCAAATGGAAATGCAGGAACGGGAACAGTCTTGACGCTCCTTAATCCATGTTTTATTCATTCCTTCCAGAAGCGCCTGTCACTGTAAACAATGTCCTTGACTCGCCTACTAATGAGGACCCAAGTTCCCCTAGACTCGTCTTGATTGCTAGTCCWCTTCTAAGTCATTTCACTGAGGATGAAACGCTTTCTTTTGTGCATTTTGACCAGCCCTAAGCAAAGTTGCAAGTTGGTTTTTGCAGGGGTTTTGGAAGGTCACTTTGCACAAGCCACARGGATCCTTAGAGTCCGTCCTGGAARAGGACCACATGAGGGATGTTCAGTGAAAGTCCCCCGAACAGGGTTGGTGYATGCGCTTCTGTCTTCCTTCTCTGTCTCTCCTCCACACCCCGTCCCTTCCTCCTCCCCAGACTCTCTCCGTCTCATTCCGTCACGCAGCACAGGCCTCGGTACCTGTGTTAGGCCAGGCCTCACGTGGAGCCGAACGGAGGACGTGGTCCCTGCCTTCTTCATGGAGCAGCCGGACAACCCGGAGGGCAGGAGAAGAGCCAGCGATTCCAGTTAGGGGTCACGCTGCAAGACAGAAGTCAGGCTCCCTAAGAGAACCGGAGTCGGGGTTGGAAGATACTCTACGAGGAAGAAGCTGGTCCAGCAAGCATGTGTGGACCAGATCAGTGCTGGGGACAGGCTGGCGGAACCCAGAGCCCACTCCCCTGGTCCTCGGGGCACATCCAAATTGTGCAGGATGCACGTCCTCATGGGAGAACTGTGAGGACTGGGGTCCTACAACAGGGAGGAGACCCCCGGAGGAGACGCGAAGGAGGCGCACAGCCCTCTCACCATTCGCGCCGACAGAGCCCCCTCCACACAGCGACTCCTGTCCCCTCCATCTCCTTCTTCTCCAGGAAACCCGCGGTTGGGACCATTTCTCATTGTTGGCTGTGCCTGGTCTGGGACAGGAACCCATCAGCACCCAGGAGGACTGAAGGCAGACTTCCTGCGGATGAAGAGGAGCAGACACCAGTGACTTCCCACGGGGCCCGTTCTCAGCAACAGTTGACCCAGTTTGCAGCCCGGAAGGGTCCCGTTGGTGGGGGTCTGCTGTTCCTCCTCGTCTGGGGCAGACTCTGCCTGTGCACCAGCCTTCAGCTTTGTCCACCCACCTGCAGTGTCCTCGGGATTCACCTTCCCTGCCTTGGCGGGCTTGGGCAGGGCCGGACAGTGAGGCGTGAGCCTGGAAAGCGGAACCATCACCGGGAGCTATGGTGGGTGCTTCTCCCACTAGAGAGAGTCGCTGCTGTGGGGCAGTCTTGGAATGCCCCCCCCACCCTTTGGGAATTCCTGACGTGTCCCCAGAGCTCTCACAGACTGGAAGAAGACAGTAGGGGAACTGGTACATGTAGGGGACAGTGGTGAGACACCAGGTGTCCCTGGAGACTGCAGGGCGTGTTCTAGGGGAAGGAGGAAGGGGCACATTACGGAGCTGGGTTTCCCATCGGAGGCTAACTTCTCACCCATACTTCACCCTCGTGTCTGGGTAGCATGGACAGGGTTCAGGCCGATTGCTTTTGCACCCATCCCCTGGCACTGGTTAATAGGTCACCTCCCCTGTCTTCTTTGCTGGATGTACGGGTGCTGGGCGGGATCCAGAGGAGGGCATTTTCCCAGATGATCCATAAGCAAAAACGCAAAGCTCAATTTCCCGAGTGCTTAAATGACTCTGCTTGGAGCCGCCGTAGATCACCTTGAAATCATTCCAACCTGGATGGAGATGGAATTTAGAAACGGATTGGCATTGGCACTGAGAAAAAGTCCAAAAGGCATTTACATGACAAATATTATTGTTATGATTTTGAAACAACCTTGGCATTTAGGTCTGAAAGTTCAGTTGACTGGGTAAGCCTTGAAATGCAAATAAAAGGTTAAAAGGGACAGGTYCTAGTTTCCAGAAAGACTGGCGGCCATCCTCACTTCTCCCCGGTATTGGGGGCGGGTCTGGGACATTTCCGTTCCCAGCCCCATGTCTGGTGGCTGGGGACACTGGCTAAGGTTTGACGGTCACATCTGTGGCGTTGACGGATTCTTTCTCTGTGGTGGTAATAGAAACTCAGATCTTATTTCCATAGAATCTGATCTACTTCTCACTGTGTCTTGTGTGGGCCAAAGTAAACATGGACTCCTGATAGAAATTTTTTTTTTAAAAAAGCCACCAAGAAATGTTTGGGGACTGCATTTCACAAGCTTGTTTTACTCTTCTCCACCCAAAACACGCACCCTTCTGTGTTACGCTCCTATCGTTTGATGACACGAAAACCCGTGGCGGGTTTCCTATTAATTTTTCATTCTGCCCAATGGGCCRTCCACCATCCATCATACCCCTGTCACTGACCATGAGCTTTCGGGAGGCGATAATCAGGTAAGTACAGTGGTTCTCACTTCCCCTATCAGAGGAGTACCTTGAAGAGGAGATCACTGCGCCGAATGTTGAAACTAAAGTGGCCAGAGGAGCGGCCTCCTTCCTGCAGTGAYGGCAGCTGAGCCCCCAGATGGCCCTCAGAGCCCGCAGCCCAGAACCTGAGAGCCAGGCTGCAGAGTCAGTGAGCTGCCCACGGTCAAGGTGTCAGATGCTCCCCGCGTCCCCACAAGACAAGTGTCCACGGCCGGTGGATCGAAAGACCCAATGGCTGCAGTTGCTGGCAGCTGGTCACTCGGAGAAGCAAACCCTTTATGAGAAGTGGGCAGGAGGGGCCAACCAGCACTCCTAAATGGAGCACCTGGGTCCCCCGAGACCAGCCCAGACTCGGATTCCATGTTCCCAGGCGGCGGGCGTAACTGAAGCCACAGTCCGACTTACAGAGGCCACAGGAGCCTGCTACTCGGATGAAGCCACAGTCCGACTTACAGAGGCCACAGGAGCCTGCTACTCGGCCGAAGCCACGGTCCGACTTACAGAGGCCACAGGAGCCTGCTACTCGGCTGAAGCCACCGTCCAACTTACAGAGGCCACAGGAGCCTGCTACTCGGCTGAAGCCACAGTCCAACTTACAGAGGCCACAGGAGSCTGCTACTCGGCTGAAGCCACAGTCCAACTTGCGGAGGCCACAGGAGCCTGCTACTGTTGGGCCTGAACGCCACTCCCCTGCAGCCGATGCAGCTCCCGAAGCTGCTGGTGCCCGCGTCGTCACAGGACACGGCTGGAGCCTGATGTTGGGGCCTCAGGACTCTCTTCACAGATTTCTGAAAAGTCTAAAACCTCTAAAATGGAAAGTGTCTTAGCACCTAGGACAGGCGGTAGCTAAATGCTCCCCCGCCAGCACCTGGCCAGGCCCTTTCAACCCCCCGATTCCTGGGCAAGCAGAGGGCTGCGTCCCGCCTGTCTGCAGAGCCACTGCTGGCCTCCTGGTGTTAACTCAGTGGATCCTCCTGTTCCTTCACTCATCCCAGCAGAGCCACGGAGCTCCTGCCCCAGCTGGGCTATCCGCAGCCCTGTGTAGAGGTGGTCACTGGCTGGCCAGGCTGTCAGGCTGGCTGGGCGCCCTGACCCCGAGCCAGCAGAGGCTACCCTCTGGACTCCCTGTGCCCTCTGTGCCCACGCCCACAGCCCTGTGCTGCAGGCTTTATTGTCATTCCTACTTTACAGACAAGGACAAGCAGGAGACGCTGAATCGCAGACCCAAGCTGGTCTGAAAGCTGCATCTTCCCTCCATGGCAGGGGGTGGGGCAGGGGGCTTGTCCTCCCAAAGCCGGAGACCGCACGGTCTGCCCACTAGGCTGGAGTTTCCGTGTGGACACAACTGATATTCACTTTCTTGTGGGGACTGTCCTGGGCACTGTGCCCTTTGCTCTTCACCTGCGTAGGCAGCCGCACCCCACCCATGAAGACCATCCGAACAGTCCCCCAGGGTGACTGGGGGCACGTGGAGAAGCACCAGCTGCAGCATGAGCTCTGCAGGGCAGGAGGGGGCTGTGTCCTAGTCTTCTCCACCCTCCTCCCCTTCCTAAGTGTGCATGTGCACACGTCCCTGTGAATGCAGACTGTGCACACGTCACTATGAATGCAGACTGTGCACACGTCCCTATGAATGCAGACTGTGCACACGTCACTATGAATGCGGATTGTGCACACTTCCCTATGAATGCGGATTGTGCACATGTCCCTCATGGTCATTTGTATGTTGTGGTTATTTAACAAATTGTTGCTGAGCTTCTGCCAACTGGATCCCAAATGCTTAGAATCCTAAGGGTCATGAACTCACGCTGGTCAAATGAAAACCATGCTGAATTCAGGACTCGATGTGGGGAGGGTGGAAGCCTAGTCTCTGGTCACCTGGTAACTCCTGAGATCTGGCTTTGCTGATCTCCTGCCGGTCACAAAGACCAGCCTGGGTGCCCTCCACCGAGGCCCAGTGGCACGGCTCAGGACCTGGCAGAGGGCCACGTGCAGGTGGCCTGTGCTGGAYGAGGGTGGCCTGGCAGGGCTGTGGGAGTCGAGGGAAGTCGTGGCCTGGGGCCGCGTGCTGGAGGCCCCGTAAGGCACATTCCCGTTTCTCCCGCTTGCCTTCCTCCCGTCCAGGGTGAGGTCTGGGTTTGGAAAAGGACTCCTGGCCAGAGACTGCTGTCAGTCCCTTTGAGAGTGGGCAGGTCGCAGGAGGGAGCTGCTTCTGGGCCGTTCCCAGTGCTGTATCTCTGAAGTGACAGTGGCTTGTCACTCGCAGGAGCCCAGGGAATCCTAAATGCAAAGACGGCACAGGCCCAAGCTCCCAAAATGAAACGCGCTCAGGTTGGGGTTTTAGCGGCCGCTCAGCACACACCACCCGCGACTGCGGCTCCTCGGGGGCTGTTCACTGCACCCGGAACCCGTCTTCTCCCGCACAGGCTGTCGGCGGAGGGGGGGCTCCCCTGGGACTTCCCTGTCCCCGGTGCCACACAAGCCACAGCCTGCTCTAACCAGTGCCCCGCTTCCTCTCTTGCCAGAAGGAGGGACCTGTGAAGTGATCGCCGCGCACAGGTGCTGCAACAAGAACCGCATCGAGGAGCGCTCGCAGACCGTCAAGTGCTCCTGCCTGCCCGGGAAGGTGGCGGGGACCACGAGGAACCGGCCCTCCTGCGTGGACGGTGAGTCCTTGGCCTGCCGCTCTCTCTGGGTGTCCCTCCAGGCGCCGGGGACACGGTGGATTTCCTGGTTGAACCCAGTGTGGGTCAGGATGATGCGTCCAGGGGCTGAGTGCCAGAGTGTTGTCCTGATGCGGCCCTCAGGGGGACTTCCAGTTTCCTGCTAGGTCCCAACGTTGTCCCCACCAACGCTCAAGTTACAGTTGGGTTGGCTCCGCGATGGTGTTGGGAGGSGACCTCCCGGAGGTGACTGAGCCGCGGAGCCTTCACCCCCAGGAGTACAGGTGGTCATAAGAGGGCGACCCCGCCCCTGGTGCCCTCCTGTCCTGTCTCCACCACGTGAGGAAGCCGCGAGAAGGGCCTCTGTAGCTGCTGATGGCCGGTCTTGGACTTCCCAGTCCAGAACTGGGAGCCAGTACAACTCTGTTCATTATAAATTACCAGCCTCAGGTACTCTGTCATAGCASCACAAAAATGAACTAAGACATATGGCTTTGGGGTTTTCAAATATCTCTATTTTGGCTTTTTTTAAAGACAGAACTAAAGGAATGTTTTGGGGGGTTCTTAAATTTGAGGGTCTGGCTCGTTGGGGAAATAACTTTAGATTGGGGCTGCATAGAATGACCATGTGGTAGCAGGTCAGACAGCAGGCCTAGCGTTCTTTCATGTGCGTTTAATGAGCAGGTGAGGTGCTTGGGGTACTTCCACGCAGAGTTCCCTGAGTGCTCAGTGCCTATCTAGCTCCCTGATAAACACTTCCCCTACCCTATGTTCTGTTATTTAATCCCCCCAGAATCCCACAAAGCAGGGTTTTCGTCATCGGTCTGTGTAACACACTTCCCCAAATCTAGTGGCTTCAACCAGCAAACACCATCCCCGCGATTCGGCAGATGAAGAGCCACTTCACTGGGAGGTTCTGGCTGGGGTCCGCCGTGTGGTTGCTGCCCAGATCCAAGGGTTGGGCTGGTGCTGAGAGGTGTTAGGAAGGCTTTCCGACATGGCCACTGGCACAGGGGCCTTCCCACGGGAGCATGGTGTCCTTACAACGCAGCGGCTCATCCCCTGGGAGCGAGGCCCAGGACAGCAGCACAGAAGCTCAGCGTCCCTCAGCAGCCTCACAAGCATCACCTCTTCCTTTCCGCACCTCCTCTGGCTGTGCTGGTCAGCCCTGTTCAGTGTGGGCACGGGCTGCCAGGGCCTGGGGACAGCAGGCAGGATCACTGGGTCACCTTGGAGGCTGGCTGCCGTGGGGAGATACACCTTCCCTCCGGTTTTGAACGTACAGAACTGAGGCTGGCAGGGTTCAACAGCGTGCCACTGGCCTCTGGTTGGTCATAGCTCACCTGACTCGAGCCCAGTTTAAGGGACTCTGGTTTCAGCCTTGACCATCACCCTTAAGGCAATGGAATGTGATGCAGTCAACCAGGGAGCCCGTGGCTCAGGGGAACCCCAGGTCTCTCTCCATGGTTACCTAGCCTGATTCAGAGGAGGGTTGGGACTCCGAGGAGCCCTGTGCACGGGTCACGGAGCAGGACTTAGAACCTGCATCTCTTGGCCCAGGACCCATCCTCCTTGCTCGTCGGAGGTGGGGAGGGCCAGCTGTTGATTGGCAGGTGTCACACTCCCTCATCGCGAATCAGGAGAGGGTCGGACACAGATGCACACTGAAGCTGGGCCACGTGGTGCACGTAGGAAGGGGACAGAGGAACCCCGGGGAACCAGTCAGGGAAATCCCCCAGACTTCACGGCACCGTGCATCGGCAGGCAGCTGCCCTTGCTTTGCTCTGGGATGTGCTGGTTTAACCGGCTTGCCTCGTTCTTCGGGTCCCCGGATTCCCTTCCAGGATCTGGGTTTCTGCTGTCTTTAGAAGTGGAGGAAGGACCCGGCTTTCATTCCCTGGAACCCCTCTCATCTTGCTCCAGGGCCCAAGTACATGTGACTTGGTTCCTGGGTCATAGATGCATTTTCTGAGAAGACAGAATACCATGGGCCAACGTGGTCAGTGTGTCCTCCTGGCCCAGTCCACCACGGCCAGAAGGATAAGCTCCAGTGGCAGACGCCGCTGCCCATTCTGACCGCGGACTGTGGAGCCCTTTCCAAAAGGACACGGTAAGCCAGGTTTGGGAATGAGCCGTGATCCGTGCCTCTCCGGGGGGACGGTTCTCCCAGGAGTCCTCTGGAAACCCCTGGAGACATTTGGGGTCTAGACATTTGCCAACTCGGGGCAGTGCTGCTAGTGTTAGTGGTAGAGGCCAGCAATGCTCCCGAGTGTCCTACAGTGCAGGGCGTCCCTCCAATACCTCCACAGAGCGGCCCAGCCACTGTCCGTGGTGCTGAGGTGGAGAGGCATGTGCTGTGACTCGGAGCTCCTTCCATGTGGCACCCTGAGGCCTGCATTGGCAGGAGGGCGATGGTGCCACCCTCCTGCAGGAGGAGGCTCTTGGCCCCGGAAGCCAGCGAGCACCACAGAGCAACCCTGGTTCCCCGAGTTCCTTGCCAAGGGAAGCTCTGGGGCTGTGAGCTGAGAGCCTCCACTTGGCCTCCAGTTCATTTCTATCTCTAATGATCTAGAAGCGGAACTGCCTTCAGGTTTTGGACGCCAGGCACAGGGAGCAGTGCATTGTTCGTGCTCAGTGGGGGAAATGGCTTTGGCCCTATGTGTCTGTGAGCAGTGGAGCCAAATAGCAGGGATACTTTATTCTCAGAGCAGGTTTATTTGATTTTTGGAACTCTATACCCATTAGTGGGTTGGTTCAAGCCAGAGGACCGTAGTCTCCATCTTCCAAGCAAAATAAAGAGCACTCTTAGTCTCCGGCTAGCCGTTTACATTTTATACAGCGTCCACTCCCCAAAGGCTCTGAGTCAGCTGGCACGAGGAGCAAGTCTGCACTGCGCCGTGTGCCACTTCTCTGTGGCCTGGATCTCTACGTGCAAAATGAATACAAAGTGTGAGTTCACAGTTTCAGTGCAGTTGAAATCACGGACTGAGGAACCAGCTTGGCGTGAGTAGGATCTCAGAGGTGCCTGTCCCGCGCAGCCTGACCTTAGACAGGTGCTTTCTGAGCTCAGGCTCATCCTCTGCAGAATGGGAGTGAGAGTCACTGTGCTTCACGAGGCTGTGGTGAGTGATGGAAAGTCACCTGCCCTGTGTGCCTTGAACAAGCCCTGGCTCCCTCCAGGGCTCACTGAGGGGCTGTGTCCATGTCTTACCTACTAACAAGTGGGACCATTATGGGAAGTTGGAGAACCGCAGACACACACCCACATGTTAAAATCGCCCCACCCCAGCCCGGAGATCAGCACTGCTCTGTAAGGTGGGTGTGAGTGTGCCCTTCTAGTCTGTGCCCACCCTCAAGGGCACCCTCATGCTGACCTAAAATGCCGCAGTGCTGTTCACCGATGGCTGGAGTCGCCTGACGGACAGTCCACATTCCCCAACTTCATTCTCCAGACAACTGTTGTGAGCAGCCACCGAGGACTCACAGTGGTGAATCCACCACAAGATACTGAACTGCCCCTCTCCTGGACACCCAGTCTGACTGCCGTCTCAGCTCCCTCTGGGACAGCAGCGGCATGCTGCCCACGTCCAGCCCTGTCCTCAACCTTCCCCTTTGTGCATTTCCAGTGGTCAGTCTCCCAGTGTCCACATCCCTCTAAAACCACAGGTCAGTTGCCCTCGATGGCAGTTCCAAAGACAGAGGAACGGCGGTGACTCTTAAATGTCTTCATGTACTGGTTGCTTCAAGATCCAGACCCTGAGATGAGATTTTACTTAAGACCGGACAGAATTGCTGGGACCCAGTTTCAGCGATGGATTCACAAGGATAACGTCTGTTTGGAGAAATGTCCACTCAGCGGCCTCTGTTTATAAGATGGTATTCTGTTACCTGACAACTGGCAACCCCCAAGCACACACTCACCAGTTAAATCATGCGATGGTCACTGATAAAGGCTCATAAAAGCAGGATGTCTGCGTCGTCCACCCAGCGCTCTTCTGAAGAAATGTGTTGTTGACCTCTGATGGTGACTTCATTATTCTGCAGCCTGGGCAGGGTTGGCACCCTCGTCAGTATCGTTGGTGGAAACCAACTAAAGACATAGTACGTGGCTTTTCAGTTACCACCAGTTTGATTCTCAGAACTAAAAGTTCAAGTCAAAGGTTCATAAACAAGAGCATGTGAGTTCAATACACATCTATTTATTTAAGGGAAAAATTTTCCAAGCAAATTATACATAATGGAAGTTAGATTTATAAGGGGCTTGGGAAGTTATGCACCATGGTTTTTAATTGGGTTATAATGCCACAAAGGAGTGTCCATCTCAGTGTTTAAAACAGCAGTGGAGTGTGATCAATGCCAATCATGATGATATGACTAGACCCGATGGCTAGCTTTTTCCCTGGGCTCGCCCTGTGCCGCTCTTGCAGGTACATTCATTCTAACTTACAGTAATTACATCAATTGCACTTACATTAATTCTGCTTGATTCTAACTCCAGCCCTGTGAGGAGCGTCCTTCTGTCATTTCCACGTTGTTCCTCAGGAACCCAGGCCCAGGGAGACTGGGCGGCTGGCCTGAGTCCTTGCTGCCTAGGAAACCTGGGAGGTCAGCCTCCTGTGCCATCCAGGGCTCCACACAGAGCTGCGAGATAGCCGGGCCACAGAGACAGGCCAGCCACAGGGGCACTTGGAGAATCCCCAAGGTGACACCCACCTCTGCCCTTCTGTCACGTCCCTCTGCCTAACCTAAGGTAGCGCTATTCTTCCCTAGTGACCCCCGCCTTATTGTGAATTAGCATCCACACATTAGAGGAAGCGTTCAGCCTTTGGTTTTGTGGGACTGGCTTGTTTCTCTTGGCATGATATTCTCCAGCTCTATCCATTGACTGGCAAATGCCATCATTTCACTCTTCTTTAAAGCTGAGTAATATTCCGTTGAGTATAGATACCACATTTTCTTTATCCATTCGTCTACTGAGGGACACCTGGACTGGTTCCACAGTC